CGGGGCCTTTTGGTGCTGTGGTGTACGGTGGGTGGGTGGGTGGGGCAATTGGTGGGTGGTAGATGGGGGTGCAGGGTGTAGAGAGAGCAGGCATTCAGAGTAACATGCTCAGGGAGATAACAATGGCTCCTCTGGGAGACGTGCAGATGCTAGGAGTACGGGGAATAGAAGTGGGATCTTATCGCAAGGCTAACATAAGCTGGGAAACCACCCGACAAGTCTGTTCTTTTCACCCTCTCTACAGCTGTCCTTTTCTGGTCCATGGCTCGTCACTTACTTTTCTCTCTATGGCAAATGTTGTCATTATTTACACTATTTGTGCTTCAAGGCATAATGTTTAATCTGAGTTTGTTTTCTAACAACTGTTGGAAAAAGACAAGTAATCAAATTGCTGTTTACTTATCCATTTAGAACATGTACAGAAAGAAGGATTACTTTTATACCAATTACATTGTTTGATTAACACACTGGGAGCAATGCCAGTGTTTTTTTTCCAAAAGGTAGACAGGTTAATAGATTGACAATATGCACCACAAATATCATTTTGCCTTGGAAGAACTTGTGAGTAACAAAATATCTTTTGTATTATTTTCTTTTCCCAGGTCTATTAAAGATGCACTGGAACCCAGAGCATGCCCAGTCTCTAAGCCAGTGGCCTGAGCAACACCTAGATGTCTCCTCCACCACTTCTTCTCCGGCCCACAAATCGGAGTTCTACTCTGGTCGCAGCCGTAGCGCTTACAACTACGCCTGGGCCAACGATGACATCTCTGCCTTGACGGCCTCCAACTTGTTGAAGCGCTATGCTGAGAAGTATGCTGGTGTGCTGGACTCACCTTATGATAAGGCACCCTCTGTTGGCACCTACCCAGAGCCTGGGGCTTTTGGGGGCCTCAGCGTCCCAAAGTCAGAGCTGGAACCTTGGCAACTGACACACAGCACTGATGCCTATTCACTTGTGCCACCAGGAGGCCACGAGAGCCTTCCAGGTTCCAAGGTTGTAGCCACATCTGCGGGTCTTCCAGGAGTCAGCAGTGTGTCTGTGGTAAACAGTAACCTGTCGGACTCTGGGTACAGTGGCAGCAGCTCCTGTAGTGGCTCCAGTGAGTACGCCTCCAGCTACAATGGTACTTATCTCTCCTCAGGTTACTGTCCCCAACCCAGTGCAGCACTTCCACCTGCAACCCTGGTGCCCAACTATAGCCCTACGACACCTGTCTACAACTATCCACCAAGCACATACCCTCCCCAGACCAGCCTCGCTCCCAGCTACACTCACCCTTCTGCAGCCTACCTGGCCTCAGGTCTACCAGCCCCTACTCCAGTACCCCCGAGGCCCACAGTAGTAGGAGGCAGCTACAGTTACCAGAGCACCACCCTGGGGGCATCTGATTCAGGAGGCACATTGAAAAGAAAAGCATTTGAAATGAATGTAGAAAAGGATGAAGGCGCAGATGGCTCACGTTACAGGAAATACAGCTACGACCCATTAAAGACTGGGGGAAACTCACCCTACAGTGTAAATGAAAAAACAGAGTGTCAGGGAAATGGCTTCAGCAATTCAAGTAGCACAGACCCTCAGAGCTTCAAGCCCAGTAAGCCCTCTTCTCAGCCCCTAGTGTCTCCTCAGTATGGGGCCTCTGGGGAGTATAGCCCTCCAGCAGGTATGACAGGGGAGAATGGTGTAGCAGAGCAAGGCTTCACCCAACAGCAACAGCACCGCAACCAAGTCCACAAAAGGCCTCCAATATGTGGTCCAACTATTGACTCCATGAAGAGCCCAGATCCCCGACTGTTGGACTTTGTTAATGCAGAGCTTTTAGACTGCAGCCCGGCCCTAGGCTGGTCTGAGCTGGTGGGGCTTACCCACGTCAAGACTGCCCTGGAGGAGGATCTGCTTTGGCCTGTGTTAAGGCCTAGTCCAGTTGTGCGCCCATCGAGAACCGTCCTTCTATTTGGCCCCCAGGGAGGCGGTAAGACCACACTGACTCGTTCTTTGGCTTCCCAGCTTGGAGCTTCCTTCTACAGGTTGAGTGGAGCCATGTTAGCCTCTAAAGGGAAAGCTGAGGCAGAGCACATCCTGGGCTCCCTGTTGCATTTGGCAGAGGCCCGGCAGCCCTCTGTGGTGCTGCTTAGTCAGGTGGAGGCCCTGGAAGAGGATGGACTGAGACAGACACTTCTGACCACCCTTGACAAAGTCCAGGTGGGGACGGCAGGTCTGGTGATTCTTGTATGTGCCACTGGCAGGCCCGATCTTCTGCAGGATGCAGTTCATCAGAGCTTTGCTAAGCGATATCACGTTGGCCTGCCAGATGCTGGGATGCGCAGGCAGGTGCTGCTGCAGGCGGTGTTGCCTCAAGGCTGCAGCCTGAGTGAAAGGGAGTTCAGCGCTGTGCTTCAGCGCACTGAGGGCTTCACAGTGTGGGAGCTGTTACAGCTCAGCCAGCAGGCGCTCTCATCAGCAGCCTCCCCCACGGGAACCATGCATGGCCTCTCCACATCTTCCAAACCCCCGGTTTTCACAGACTTTGAGAATGCCTTCTGCAAGGTGCGCCCACACACCACCACAAAAGAACTGGACACTTGTATAGAGTGGAGCAAGATGTATAGCCACTGAGAAAGCAGCCAGTCCCTGCACTCGGACTGCACTACAAACCTTTCTTTGCATTGACATGGAAAAGCCTTGATGTTGTTTGTAATTACAGAAGCCAAAAGAGCCAGAGAAGTTCAATGAAACAGGAGAGCTGACAAAACTGTTCTCCTGGCAGAAGCATGCCGTGGTGTACTGTTTTTGTTTTGCTTAACAGTATTTGCAATATTTTAATTTTCCCAAAGAAAAGAAAGATGAACAGGCCTTGGTAAGTCAGGTGGTGTAAGAGTCATTAAAACGGAAGAAACATAGCTTTTTGGATGCCCTCAAAGATCCTGATTAGCCTCCGTCCAGGACGAAATCAATAATTTGTTAATAGGTGACGTGGTCCAAGATTATGGATAATCAGGGTTTTGGAAGATTCCCCCTTTGATGCTATGCTCAGGATTGTATTTTTTGCCACTGCAGTCCATCTTATTCTGATTTGGTTTTTGGATTGTTACTAATTATTATTGTTATTATTCAAAATTAAGGGCCTTGGGATCAGCAGTATTTCAGCAAAATAGTTTTTGACCAAAAACATGTCATACCAAATTTTTAAGCAGTTTTGATGAATATCTCTGAAACCGCCATGGCTTCATCATCAAATTACAAACCATATCCAACGTTTGAATGAAAATAAAGATACCATTTATTAAAACACGCGACTGTACTCTGAGATATATTCAGTGAAAACCTTGCAGTAAAACTCACAGCACAGTTTCATGTAAAAAAAATTACATGTACTTTAATTTAAATATGCGCACACTTCATTTCACAGATAGCCCACCTTTAAATAAACATATTTACACATATATATTTAAAACACGCTTGTGGACTTGCAAACCATATGCTCACATTCCTCATGAAGTAGTTTCCTGGAGAATCACAGTCAAAGTTTATCCCGACTGCACACACGGCTCCTCCTGCAGTGTGTCTGCTTTCTGTTTTACTTAAGTCCTTTTGTTGTCTTAGTATGTAGTCTTGTTTGAAATGCTCAGGAAGAAATTTCTTTACCTCAGAAATATGAATTAAAGAATGTATGTAATCTTAGGGTCTTAGTAGGGAGCGTCGCAGAGCGAGGAGGAAACCTGACAGTCACGTTAAATCCCCACTGCAGATGGGCTTTTACCTCGGGAGAGAAACTTGAATATGCTACAAAGAGTAACAATGAATGTAATTCAGGTATTTCAAAGGATATTTGATGCCATAAAAATCCATGTATTATTATATATGAATATATAAATGCATTTTCTTTTCTGTTCTTTTTTTTCCCCTTTTATTTTTATCGTAGTTTATGGTGGAGTGATGTTTGTCTTTGAGAATGCTATGTAGAATGCAGAAAATATTCCTATTTTGTTGGACAAACTGTTTCACTGCGTTTACATATCCTTTTTTTTCTGCATGTCTGCCGTTTAGGGCTTCAGAAACACGAGGGACAGTTTGAGGATGTAAATAGAATTCACACAATCAAAGAGGCCAGCTCATGTTTTAACATCTCAGTTCAAAAACGTCAGTGTGAAAGACAAACCAGAGGTAATATGTGCATGAGCTCGCTGAAGAGTTTTTGCTTCAGAATTTACCAGTGATTTTTGAAGCAACAAATACGTAAAATAAAATCACACTGAAATAAATGACAGTAATTAGGAAAACGACACCAGCCTCACTGCATATCAGTAAAATAACCAGAGTCTGTGTATCCTCCACAATTTTAAACTGAACTCAAACAAAGAACAAATTCTTGCCATAAATGTTCAAAGAAAATTGCAATTTGCCCTCTCCCTTAACTTTATCTAAACATTACAAATTCTAATTATTATTAGGATAATCATCATGACAAATTTTACAGTCGTGCCAAGTAACACAGTTTATGATATTATCAATTGATTTGTCTGATACACCTGAATCCGTAACCATAGCATATTTTATGTCTAAAGGAGAATATTGTTCTCTGTGCTGAAGTTCATGTATGTAACCCTGTTAAAGGGAGTTGCTAGGAATATAACGACTTTCAAAATGTCCTTGTCAAGCTCTAATCGAGATTAATTTTGTCAGGATAAGCCAGAAATAAATTTGCTCGTTGTGGTTCAGATCCTCTTGTGGAAAGTTTAGGAAACACTGATGTAGACAATCTAGAGTTAGTCGTGGCTCAGCTCTGTTTAAGTAGGCTGGAAAAATCTGGTCAGCGGACTGCAGGTACAGAGGTCCTTCATGTTAGACTGTTGCTATGGTCCTGAGGAGGTACACACAGAATGATGTAATATTTCCTATCACCCTCCTCTCCCTCTGTTCCCTCACTCCCTCCCTCCCTCCATCCTTCATCTCTTTTCCCCTCTCTCTTTCTCCCCTGTGCGGTCTCATTAGATTGGATTGCCCCCTGGCCACGAACCCCGGTGGCCATGTGGCGTTGCATCCTCTCACCCTCCTCCACTCGCCCTCCTTCACCTCTCCCTTCCCGATTCCTTTGGCGTAAGAAATGCACTGATTGATGTCCAGCAACCTTATATCACAGCGCAGCCTTCCCTTTCCAGCTGGTGGCTTCAGTCATACCATACAGCCAGATCAATCAGAGTCACCCCGACTGTGCATACTGATCACTGTCTGAGAAACTGAAAACACATTTACAGAGTACACAGCATCCTCAAGCATTGTGTGGTCAAGAGCTTCTAAACATTCACATGTTTTAATTACAATATTTGCCCCACCCACCTACCCCTGAACAGTTTGTCCGACAAAACTAAGATTTTATTTTTTACATGTTGATCTGTTTTCACAGTCATTTTGTTCTTGGTTATTGTACATTTTCTGTAACCATTTCTACCTCATTTTTTGCGGCATATTGTACATGAAAATATTTATTTCATGTCTTTATTGATGTCTGTTTTAAAAATGATTAAAAAAATGTTCTTCAAATGTAATGGTCTACCTCAGAAAAGACTGTATTTTAAGAGAGTATCACACAATATTAAACAGAATTTGCCAATACTGCACTGCATACATGTCTTTATTCTGGCACAGTACTGCATCAGGTCAGAGGCAAGAAATGATTCAAAACAGCCTACACGGCCGAGCTGTTATACAGTATCTGTACACTGACCCTGGTCTGACACCAACACTGACATCAGCCCAGTTAGAAGTAATCTTCAGAAATATCTTCAGATATATTTCTGTAACTGCAAACAAACAGCATGTAGCTCTGCTTCCTCCCCTGCAGGTAGTGTTGAACACAGTTAATATCCCATTCGTATTCATGTGCTCAGTGCACAGGTGTAACATTATGTTTCGTGATAACCAAATAATAAAGCTGTTTCTACAAGACAGAGTAATAGTGATTGTCAATATAATCTAGGAAACTGGAACTGGTGACTAACAACTCCCTTTGTTTTACTATAGATGCTGTGTCCACAGAGCTCTATTACTGACCCCTGCAGGATCTAGTATACACATCTGCTGTCCTCTGCACTGCATGCATGGCAAAGAGAGAAAATACAACAGGAAGTGGCTAGCATCTTTGTATACCATTAAAAAGCTTCAAACGAATTTTAAAAATGTAAAGTTCATTTTCTGTAATTTCCAACTACCTTTAAGGTTGGTGCACATTGCTGCTGTCAGGTGTTTGCACCAGTCGCCTGCCCTGACCCCAGTACTTAGGTCAGCTCAGTTCATTACACTAATTACAAAATTAGGTTTATTGTATGATCAGCCAATAGTTAGGATGTAAGGTTAGATCTCTGATCTGTTTCAATATTTCTTTTAGTGTGATTTTC